TATGAAACAGTCCAAAGATAATTAGAGCCAGATCTTTTTTCGGCTCTAGTATTCTTATCACACAATGTTCCATGTCAGGTCAAAACAGTCCAGCTTGTTACATTCCAGCTTATTAGAAAGAAAAAAATATCAAGCAGCTACACCCATTCCTTTATAGAGCAAATATCATTTATCATTAGCTTAGACCACAGACAGACATATGGTCATACTTAGCTGCAAAGATGTCTTAGAAATCTAGTGATTAGCCAGATGGTCAACTCCATCTCAGTAGTTTTAGTAAGAACACTAAAGAAAAAGAAAGCATTTGACCTTACAGAAAATTAGTACTTGCTAGCATGAAAATTTTTCATTCATTTATTTGTACCTTCAGATAATTCTAAAGGAATCACAAAATCAAACATTATAGAAAGGCACTTCAATTAAGGACAGCCTCACAATATAAATTTTTGTTACAAGTATTAATCTTAAAATTTTAAACTCATGCTTCACAGGCCAATAATAGTATCCTGAGCTCTGATAACTCAGAGTGGATTATGAAAACAATTATTGTAAATTTCCTTGTCACTATTATAACTAAAGCAGAGTAAAACCATAAAATATTGGTTAAGAGTCAGATTAAGTGGCTGTTACTTAAGACAGAAAAAAGATGAACCTAGAGGATATTATGCTAATGCACATATGCCAAAGGAAGAAAAATACTGCATAATTTCACTTGTATGTGGGAATCTAAAAAACAAGGTTGAATTTATAGAAACAGAAAGTAGAATGGTGGTTCCTAGGGGCAGGGCAAGGAGAAACATAGAGACATAGGTAAAAGGTACAAAGTTGCAGTTATGTAAGTTGAATAAATCTAGAGATCTAAGGCACAGCACGAGAACAATAGTTAGTCATGTCTTATTGTATATTAGAAATTTGCCAAAAGAATATATTTTAAGCGTTCTTACCCAAAAGAACACAAAACACAAAAGGTAACTGGGGGAGAGGAATATGTATGTAAACATAGATATGGTCATTTCCATTGAGTATATGTATATGAAAACATTATGTTGTATGCCTTAAATATAAGCAGCACAAAAATAAATTTTATATTTTGATTACATAGTAAAAAAAAATAGATAAGCTTGCATTCAGATCTTAGAATGAGCACCTACTGACCATGAGACTTTTACCAAGTTCCTTAAGGTCTATGAATTTTGATTTTATCAAGTGTAACATGAGGATAATATGAACATCTTCAAGTGCACATTAATCCCAGGAGAATGTCTAGCATACAGAAATGCTCAATGCTGGTAATAGTTTTTACCCAGTTGATATTTCAAATTGCTTTAAATTTCTGCTTCAAGCAATGGTTGGCTAATTTGTTTTAGATGAACAAAATTTGGAGTGGACTAACGATAAGAAACTTGAGTTCACACCACAGATTGAGATCTCTTGTGGTCCTACCTTAGGAAGAAGAGTAAACTGGAAACAGACCAGCCCGCACAACAACTGAAGCCTTGAGCATTTAATTCCCTGGTGGGATTAAGGAGACGTACCTCTAGTCTAACTGCCTGACAAAAGTGAAAATAAATCCCTTTTGAGAGAAGATAAACTGCCCAGATTTTCTACATAAAAATTTTATACATAATAGCTGACATTTCATCAATGTCATTAATGTTATTTTTATTAACCAGACATATAGAAAGATTTTTTAACTACAAGGAAAAAACTCCATAGAAATGGAATCCAGCATATGCAGTTATTGAAGTTATTAGATACGAACTTTAAAATAAATATAATTCATATGTTCAGAATATTAAATGAAATAGTGTGATAAATGCAGAGTGCAATGGATAAAATTAGCAGCAGATTAGAAAGAGCTGAGAAGAGAATTAGACATGACAGAATACAACATTTGACCTCAAGACACAATGAAGAAATGAAAATGGAAAATACAGGCTGGGCGTGATGGCTCACGCTTGTAATCCTAGCACTCTGGGAGGCCAAGGGGGGTGGATTGCCCTGAGCTCAGAGGTTTGAGACCAGTGAGAGCCAGAGTGAGACCCCATCTCTACCAAAAAAAAGCCAGGCATTGTGGTGGGTGCCTGTAGTCCCAGCTACTTAGGAGGCTGAAGCAAGAGAATCAATTTTAAAAAGAAAGAAAGGAAGAAAAGAAAAAAAAAAGAAAATTTTTAAAAAAAAGGAAAATATAAAAAGAGCATAAGGTAATTCAACATATGATTAAAGAGTCAAAAAAAAAAAAAGAAGAGAGAGAGGAAAGAATGAACAGAAGAACTATTTGAAGAGGTAATGACTAAGAGTTTTCCATAACTAAAATAAGGCAATAGCAAGAAATAAAATATCTAAGTTTAAATAAAACAAAATGAAACTTCCAAAATTTGCAGTAAGTAATTGCATATTGAAAATATTGGAAAGAATTAAGAAAAATGAATTAATAAGTGAATTTAGCAAGTTTTCTAGATATAGCATCAATATACAAAGATTAGTTAGATTTCTAAACACAGCAATAAATAGAAAAACTGTTAAATACAAATTATTATAGCACAAAATATCCTCAAGTACCCCAAAATAAAACTAATACACAGAAGGTAAATAAAACTTATACACAGAAAACTAGAAAACATTGAGAAAATATTACAAAGACTTAAATACAGGGATATGTCATGTTTATGGATTGAAAGGTTTAAATATTTTAACAATGTCAGTTCTCCCCCAAATTAATTTATGAAAAACCAATGCAATCTCAAACAAAATCTCTAGGGCTTTTGGGTGCATGTGTACTAAATTTAACAAGCCGACTGTAAACTTTATGTGCAACTTTAGCCTTTATTTATTTATTTATTTGTTTATTTATTTATTTATTTTGCAGTTTTTGGCCAGGGCTGGGTTTGAACTCACCACATCTGGCATATGGGGCTGGTATCCTACTCCTTTGAGCCACAGGCACTGCCCTTTATGTGCAAACTTTAAAGCACTGAGACTAGTTAAGATAATTTAAAGAAGAACCACAATTAAAAGACTCATACCACAGGATATCAAGAACATTGTATACTAAGGCAGTGCGATAATGACACAATGACAGGCAGACTGACTGGATTAAAGACATTGATCTGCACACAATTTGTAATATAGGTCACCCTGTCAAGCAGCAAGAAAGGACAAGTTTTCTCTTAATGGTGCAAGGTCAGTTATACAGGAATATAAAAATATCTTGACCCCATTTCGTGCCATGTAACTCCAACAAGACTGTAGATCTAACTGCAAAAGGTTAAACAATAAAGCTTCTAGAGGTAAATAGAGGAGAATGGCTTTGTGAATTGAAACAAAAATTTCATAACAGAACTCCCAAATTTACTAACTATAAATGGAAAGATAAGGCATTGGACTACATTAAAATTAGGAACTTCTGTTCATAAAAAAAGGGGAGGGGGGTTTAACCATGAAAGGGAGAGCATACAAGGCTGGACATTTAAGTTTGCAAACTCATCCTAGGAAAAGTGTTACTTTCCTCATTGCTGAATGACACTGTGCTCATTTTTGGAGTACTCCTCTTGGGAAGCTATGCACCAATGCCAGAGCCTAGTCCACCCCTCAAAGCATTTTTTGTAGGATGATTTTGTGAATTTAATTGTCATACCTGTGTAACAACAACTCTGAAGGCCATTCCAGAAAAAGAGCTCCAAAATTGCTGTAAAGGGTGGACTAGGCACTGGTTTCAAGGCACAGCTTTCCAAGGGGAGTACTTCCAAGGTGACCCTAATGATATTCAGCAATGAGGTATGTAGCACGTCTTCTAAGATGTGTTCACAAACTTAATCATCTGACCTTGTATGTGTAAGGTAAGTAACATTTAAAAAGATGAGACTCCACAATTTAAAAATTCCCATGAATAAATAAGAAAAGGATGACTCAGGGTAAAACAGACAAGAGACTTACTTGAATGAGCATCTTACAAATGAAGATTTCTAGATGACCAGTATATATACAAAACTTTATTACTCAACACAAAATCTTCAAATTAAAACCACAATGTGATACTACTTCCCAACCCATGAAAATGACTCAAAGGAAAAAGGTTAACAACATAAAGTACTGGAGAAGACAAGAGTGTGGAAGTGTTCATACACTGTTGATGAAAACTGGTACGGTTGCTTTGGAAAATCTTTTATTAGTAACCACTAAAGTTGAACATAAGTGTATTCATTTTATTGAGTAAATCCACTCCTAGTTATATAGCAAACAGCAATTATAGCATTCGTGTACCAAAACTCATGTCCAAGAATGCCTGTAACATGGCCATAATAGCTACAAACTCAAAACAGCACAAATGCCCATCATCAGCAGAATGAATTAAAAAAAAAAATGCTGTTTGGTAAAATGAGCTGTCATGTAGCAGGGCTCAGCAAACTCTGTTAAAGACTCAATAGCAAATATTTTAGCTTTTGAGTGAATGTGGTCTCTGTTGCAACCACTTTGCTGTGGGAGAGTGAAAACAGTCATAAAGAATACATTGATAAATGCGCTGGTGTGCATGGCTGTGTTTCAGAACTATCTGATGGCCTCTGCCATCTAGCCACGGGAATAAAATGACCTACAGCTATGTGGATATGCAAAAATATTCTGCAAAAACGTGGATGAATCTTACAAAGTAATGTGAAACTAAAGAAGGCAGACACAAAAAGTATTCTGAAATGTGGCAGAGATTAGGAGAGGCTTGAGAAAGGATTCTGGGGTGCTGCTAATATTCTACTTAATAATCTGGTGGTGGTAGGTATGGTGTGTTCACTTTGTGATCATTCACTGAGCTGTCCAATATGATGTGTATACATTTATGTGTGTATGTATTACAATCCATAATTATTTGAAAGTGCTAGAAGATGACTCAAGGATCATCTAGAGTTCTTTTGTATTGGTAAAAATGAAGAAGGGAGCCAGAAAACATCAGAGAATGTACTTTCACAGTGAATTTTGGGGTAACCTTGATTTTATTTTATGCGTAGGATACTTAGCGAAATTGGGTGGCCATTTCCTCATCAAAAATGAAATTGAAGCCATGATTGAGGGTAAGTATTGAGAACATAATGAAATATTTATGCATAGGTATAAATAACTTTATCATGTGTGATTCTAGTCACATGTGTTTTATAAGGGTCCAAGATGGGGGAGGGGTAATAGTGGTTGGGTGAGTGGTTATGAGGGAATCAACCAGAGGACTAGGTTAAAGGGCATCTTTTTCTCTTTCTATTGGATTACTCACACTCTCTCTCTCTGTCTCACTCTCTTCGTTTGGCCCTCGCACTGAGACCTAGCTGTCGTCACAGAGCCCTCAGAAAATGCAGAGAGTTGAGGTCTCACTCATGCCTTCATCCAACAAACATGTTTTCAGAATCTCTGATGCAACAGCACTATTCTAGCTGCTGGAGATAGAGAAGCAAACAAAGCCAAGTCTCATCCCTCATTGAATTTACATCTTAGCAGCTAGCAATTCACAGTACATTTGCAGAGGGGGGAGTTAAAGAAAGGGAATATTACTACTCTATCAAAATGTTTGGGTTTTAGGGATTAATCTCAGAGCATCTATCTGTTCCCTCTTCAGGTTGAGAATTAAAAATAGGTGAGTTCTAGGGTAAGGTGGCTGCCTTCTTTTCTTCCTTTTTCTTAATGGACTATTTTTTAGAGCAGTTTGAAGTTCACAACACAATTGAGCTGGTGGTACAGAGATTTCCCAAGTATCTTCTGATCCCACCCATGCACAAGCCCCCCTTCTTACTAACATTCCCCACCACAGTGGTTCCTTTGTTACAACTGATGGACCTACATTGACACATCACTATCTCCCTTCCTTTCATTCATTCACTCATTTATGCAGCACGTATTTGACTGCCTGGGACACACTGAGCACTAGAATTCTTTCTCCATCTTTCTGACATTGTCTTCTTTCTCTCCTCCTCCTACTTCTGCTTCTTTTCCTTTCTTTCTTTTCTAAATTCCCTTTTGTTATTCCTTTTATTAATAAATAAAATAGTAATTTCCTCTGATCAAATCTATCTGGATATAATTACATTAGTATTTTGGTATGTATTATCCCAGATTCTTTTAAGGATACAAGCTCTTACATATTTATTTTTTTTAATATCATAACTGTTTTATAACTTTTTCACTTATTCTTTTATTGCAAACATCTTTCCATGCCAAGAAATATGGATTTACATCAGGTTAATATGTGTATACTATTTCCTTTTCTGATATTCATAACTTTATGTAGTTCCCTATTAATGAATATTTGGATGACTTTCAACATTGTTAGTTTTATGACCAATATAATATATACATATATATGCTCATGAACCTCTCCATGAGTATATATTTATGCTACCTAGCAGAATATTCAGTACATAAAAGGCTCTCAGTAAATGATTAGTGAATATTTCCATTTTTCTTTTACTGGAATATGATAGGGTTAGAGGATGAACTTGCTATACGCTATTAGTCAAGGTAACAAAGAGAGAGGGGAGACTCAGTAAAAGGCAGTGGCCTATTTGGGGTTAGAGCTTTTTGGATTCTAAAAGAAAGGTGCTTTCAACTAAAGTCTCTTTTGCTGTTATAGCTATTGAACGAGTGCTTCGGGATGAAGACCCTGTGATCAGGGACTTGGCAGAAATAACCCACGACCTTTTAAAGGAAATAGCCCATTCGATGATCTCCCCAAGTCTTGCAGGAAACTTCAGAAGACTCTTTAAGTTCTGCTATGTCAAAAAATTGAAGCCTCTTTATAATTATAACTTGCCCTCCGAAACCCAGACAGACAGTTCTACAGAGAAAAAGATAATCAGGAATGATAAGGAAGAGGATGATGATGACATTTTAGCAAAGAATGAGAAATGCAATGAGGCCTTTGAGCAGACCAGAGAAAAGGAATGATTTGTCTTGCACTCTTGATAACTTGAGTCTATTTGTAGAGGCTCTCCTGAAGGATGCTTGAAGCTTTCACTGTCCCTTATTAATTCCCTATTTAAATATAAAAATCTGAGAAACCTGTGCATCCCTCTGTCTGACGATAATCAAACCCACAAAGACTATAGAAAAAGTATATAAGCAAAGTGTTTGATGAGGCTCTTAGGACTCAGTTAAGTCAGTGAGCATCTATTGAGGGCTTTCTAGATGCCAGACAAGACACTATGTTAGGCAGTGGGAATGCTGGTGATACAGACATGTATCATGATACAGACATACAGTTTCTGTCCTCAGGATGGCCACAGTCTAGTGAAACACAGTGTGGCAGTTCCTATCCTGCTGGAACTTGGAATACTGTCTGGGGGCAATGTTTATAAAGAATCAGATAGAACTTGAAGGGGGAGGAGAAAGGGGGGAGAGAAAGGTACTCCAGGTGAAAACACTGAGGCAATAAAGCTAAGGAGTTTGTGGATACAATTGTGAATAGGAGAGAAGACTAGGGAGAGCTGAGACTGGAGGGAAGACTATGTCCTGCTTATGGGTTTAAACTTTTTGAAATGAAGATTAAATAGCCATTAGCACCCAGTCAAATACTTTGCTCTGACTTATAAAGCCTCTTCAGTGATCTTGTTTGACTTAAGGCTCCAAGCTCATCTTTCCCTCCTCCCCCTTTTTGCTCCACCCGCTCCTCTATACAAGAGTGAGCCACAGTAAACTCCTTGTACTTAGGGGAAAGCACTATTTTCTCTGTTGATTTACGCATGGTGGCTTGGTGGTATATCAACTTGCACTTCACATATGTTTTCATTTCTCTGCTGGGTCATGCCTCTGCTCTGGGAAAGCAGCCGCTCCACCTTGCCCTAAATCCTCTTCCAGCTTCTCTGACTTCTGGGCCAGGTAAGTTTAATGTCTGTTGACAAAGGACACCAGCTTCCCCTGTAGATGTAGTGAAGAATAGTGAGTTGGGGAGATTATTCTGGATTATCTAAGTGTGCCCAATGTAATCATAGAGTTTTTATGAGAGTGAGGTGGGAGGTCAGAGAGAAAAAGGACTTTTGAAGGTGCTGCCCTGATGGCTTTGAAGATGGAGGTAGGGGCCACAGAGCAAGGAACGCAAGGAACGTAGCTCCAGGAGCTGAAAAGGACAGGAAAATGGATTCTGTTCCAGCCATCAGGGGGCCACCCTTACCTCGATTTGAACCCAGGGCAACCCATTTTGGATGCCTGACAGCAAGAATTGCAAGATAATAAATTTATGTTGTTTTAAGGTCCTAAGTTTGTGATAATTTGTTAAGCAGCAATAGAAATTTAACATATCTAGATTTATGCAAAAATAGCCAGTGTTGTGGCAGGGGCCTTTAGTCCCAGCTTCTTGGGAAACTGAGGCTACAGAATCACTTAAGCCCAGGAGTTTAGGTTGCTGTGACCTGTAATACCACAGGACTCTACCAAAGGTGACAAAGTGCAACTCTGTCTCAAAAAAAATACATATGGATCTAGAGAGAAGATAGTATTGTGAGTCAATGGATCACTCTATCCTTGAGACTGTTCATTTCTAGATTCCCAGCATCCAACCCTGCATTTGGCATGTGGAGAAAAATGTCATAAAATTTAAAATGTATTGGGTTAGTAGGAAGTGATCATTCATAAACAAATCAGTGTAAGCAAGGCGCTGTACGAGTAAACAAGGACATAAATTAAGCATTTATAGGGGCAAGATTCTACTAAGGAATTGCCAGTCAATTCTTCTGTAATAGGGTAAGGCAGAAGGGGAAGAAAGACTGTTTTCCTAAAAAAAAGAAAAAGATATCCTGCTACTTAGGCTGACAAGCATCAAAATTCAAGCATCTTCCAAAGTAAAAATCGGGAGTGTAATGGATTTCTATTAATTTGCTTACTTTCCAATAGACTTTGCTTCTTTGCAATATCTAAATAAACATTGCTGCCAAACTGACAAATGTAGAAACACACCCACAGTCTTGAGGGGGCACCTTGGGCAGAACAGTAAGGCACTTTAGCAGAGAATGGACTTCCGGGCAGGGCAATGTCCTAGTAGTTCTATGGAACATTTTCATAATAAATGAGAAACAATGGCTTGATGCAGAAACCACTACTATTATAATGGTTCCCACTTAAGACAATGGTAAGAAAATCCAGACTTAAATTGAGGCTATAAGCTCTGACTTCTCTCCTTACTAGCTGAGAGCCTTAGGTCATGGTTTTCTCTTTATGTGCATAGAGTTAATATTCCCCCAGCATGCACAGGAATATTATGAAGTTTTAATGAGATAATTTGCTAAGAACCGCTTATAAAGTATTAAGTATATAAACATAAGGTAATGACTATTGGGACAGAAAAGGTCAAACTCCTAGCCTAGCCACTTCCCCTAATTTGGCTTCCTGACCTTGTTCCTGGAAGCTTCTCCATCTGAAAAGGTTTTCCTCCATGCACCTGACCTCTATCCCCCAGCTCTTTAGAGTGCAGGCATTAAGAGAATCATGAGCTGGGCAGGCCTTTCACAATGACGTTCTCTCTGGGGGTTATGCCCCTTCATCTGGCATCTCATTGATCCTTTATTTATCACTGGAAGGCCCATTTTGCTTAGAGGATTCACCTTGAAAAATCTGGGTGTCTCACTCTCCTGGTTAGGTCCTTAGTGAGTCCTTGTCACTCTCAGGATAAAATTCTAACTCCATAGCTTGGCATGCCTTTCATTTTTCTAACCCTACTTGCTTCCCTAGATTTATTTATCATCTCCCCATTGTCTCATATTATCTATGCTCTTGGTATAAAATGTCATGTAAAGTTGCCTGAGCACCACAATTAAGAGCAAAGCATTTGGAATCAGGCCGCCTGGATTCCCTTAGTTGCCAGCTGGGAGGGCGCAGGCAGGACCTCTGACTCATTGTGTTCCACCTTCCTCTTCTGTGTATGGGGATAATAACTGCACCCAACTCTTAGAGTTGTTTGAAGACTGTTTCAATTAATGTGGTTCTGAGATAACTTTAGACCACTTAGCACATTGTCTGATATTTGAGCAACATTTTTAAATTAATTAATTAATTTTTTATTTCAGAGTACATGTATTATAGGGGTACACACATTTGGGTTAGATAATTTGCTTTTGTAAAAGTCAAAGTTGAGGCTCGGCGCCTGTGGCTCAAGTGGCTAAGGCGCCAGCCACATATACCTAAGGTGGCGGGTTTGAATCCCCAGCCTGGGCCCGCCAAACAACAATGATGGCTACAACCAAAAAATGGCCAGGCGTTGTGGCGGGCGCCTGTGGTCCCAGCTACTTGGGAGGCGGAGGCAGGAGACTCGCTTGAGCCCAGGAGTTGGAGGTTGCTGTGAGCATGATGCCATGGCACTCTACTCAGGGGGATAGCTTGAGGCTCTGTCTCAAAAAAAAAAAGTCAAAGTTGTGGGTGTGCCCTTCACCCAGAATACACACATGGCACCAGTTAGGTGTGAATTTACCCATCCCCTCCTCCCCCGTCCCACCTGCTTGATTTCCGTTGAGTTTTACTTCCATACGTGCATCTAAGTTCTGATTAACTAGTGCCCATTTTCAAGTCTGTCTTCTCTACTGGATAAGAATTCTTTGAGAAAAAGACATTTTCTCTTTCTTTCAGGATCCCTATAGAGGGCTTGTTCCAATGAAAGAGTGAAAAAAAATTAATGAATGAAACACACTGTCGGGCGTGAGAAGGAATAAAAATTAATGAGTAGCTTGTGCCACCCTGAAGTCAAAAGGAAGCTTTAAGTGGCACGATGGCAGTAATTCCCACCAACAAGACACACCTGGACTAGGCCTGCAGGTCTGCAATTAACATTTGAAATCAGAAAGGTACATTTGGGTGATCCCAACAAATCTTCCATCTTGGCAGCCAGTCTTGTTTGAAAACATATTCTAAGGTATTTACACGTTTAAAGGGGATATGACAAATACAAAGTGTACAGGTGTTAGTCATATAACATAGTTACTCCATATAAATCTTACTTTCTGTAATTCTCAGAGTAACATTGAGGTGAATTTACTAACCCAGGCTTTCAGATAAAGAAAATCTCTGTAAGATTTGACTGAGGACAGAGAGCTGGTGCCAGGCAGTGTGGATTCACACATAGTTCCACAGAATTCCACAGACCTGGCTCTCTCCATAACATAACTGGCTTTCTCTGGCCTCTTCCCCTAGCAGGGTGACATATTTCACCCAAAAGATTTAACTGAAAATGCAACTGGTATGTTAGATAACCAAGTCTAGAATACTTGAACTGTGGACTTTTTAGGAAAATAATTATATAACAGCATCTCTGTCAAGAGTGATCCCCCCAAAATAAAGGTAGAACCCAAATGTCTATGCACAAATGAATGGATAAGCCAAATATGATATAGTCATACAATGAAACATTGTTCAGTATAAAAAAGGAATGAGGTACTGATACATGCTACAACATAGATGAGCCGCAAGTACCTTATGCTGAGTGAAATGCATGCATGTGGTGTGATTCTACTCATACGTGTATAAAATGTCTTAAATAGAAAAACCCCCAAGGATAGATGCAGATTAGAGGTTACCAGGGCCTGTGAGGCAGAAGGCAGAAGACTGAGACTAAGTGGTTAATGAATAAGGGGCATGGTTGGCTTGGAGGGCTGATGAAAATGTTCTAGGAATCCAGATGACGGTTGTGTAAAATTATGAATATACTAAGTGCCACTGAGTTAATTGTACACTATAAAATGACTGGCTTTATGTTAGTTTACCACGATTTTTTAAAACATAACAAAAAACAATCCTACTCTGCCTGAGCACTAAACATTGACCCACCTCCTGACTAAGCCCACTACTCAAGACCCCACCTCCTGACTAGCCACTACCGTGGACTGGAAGTGATAGTGGTTTTCATCTCTGCTGAAATGTGACCACTCCCATGTCATGCCCCCGGAGGAATCTTTCTTAGGGTTCTA